GTTGTAACGATTTGTATCCGATCAGATATTTGTTCATACTTAGTTTCTATAACATATATGTTAAGAAAACTATTTTTGAAATACTTCATTTTATGTTTTCATTCTGATAATCTTTATATTATTAACTTTAATGAGCTATTTGTCTCCTGGTGAGTCACATAAAATTCGGGGCTCGATTACCTACAGTGGAAAAAGTACAGAGAACCCATTGTATGTAGCTTTGCATTAAGAAAACAGCAATAACCGCCTCTTATATTCTGATTGTATAAATCTTGGAGAGAAGAGCGTGCAGAGAAACTTCTAGTGTAAACAAATATCGGGGAATGGGAGCCAAAATATAAGTATAAACTTAATTTTTCTCTGAAGTATGACAAGGAATCGTCAAGATATTTTTCTTAATATACTTTTTATAGTTTCAGTAATTCCCACATTCTCACTTTACGTAATTTGGGTGAATTTGAGTTATGTAATGCTTCTTTTTTGATGGTCAACAACAAAATGATATTTCGCCATAAATAAAACATATCAATTAACTGTTGTCAGAAGCAAACCAAATGTACTCATACTCTTGCCGATCGCACAGTAATTTCGACCTTTTCCCCGTTCCTTTTCCTTCTCTTTATACGTTTGAATCTCACATGGATCACTGATGTGCGATTCTGTCCCAAAGGTATGATGACCCACATTCTAGGCTGATATCCCTAGAAGTTTGCAAACCAATTGTATCATATACGTATATAGGCATACGGTGGATTATTATTATTATTATTACAACATGACTTACATTTAAATGTAGGCTACTTTTATAAAGATATTTCATGTAGTGTTTATGTTCTTACAGTGGTAATGTTTTAGTCTGAAAGCAATTAAAATAACCTTATTTGCACAAAATAAGGGGACTATTCTAATTCTTCAGTTCCACAACCGAGGTACAAGCTCTTTCAGGTTATTGTTTGTTTTTAAGCACAAAGCTACACAATGGGACACCTGTGCTCTGTCCACCATGAGTATCGAAATCCGAATTATAGCGTTTTTAAGCCTACAAATTTACCACTGAGCTACTAGGAAGCACCTCTCAAGTTTAAATGATAATATTTTCAACCATTGTTTTACTGGGAGGGTGTATGCGTCAAAATATGTTTGTACTAGCACTATGCACTGATGTGATCAGCCATTCATTTTTTTATTTTCGTTTTTTTACAAATCTGTGGTTCTAGAGACAATTGCCATGGTCTTGGTCATAATGTCCTCATCATTTTCAGCGCTCTATAATTCTCAATGATGTTAGTGGTAATGCTAAAGGTTAAGAAGAAATCCACAACATGTTAGCGCTTATGAGGTTGTGATAACATAAGTAAGGCAAATTCCATCTATCAAGCATAGCACCATCACCGTTAAGTACAGTCAACAAGATCTCAGTGTTACAAATGCATCCTTATACAATTAAGCTAATTAATTCTTATATGCTCAATGTCTGTTGCAATTTAAAAATAAACATGATAAGCAAACCAGCAAGGTTAAAATGAATTTATAGAACATATATTACAATCTTTATGATATGTATAATCATAATTTTATTAAGATAGCATACCTTACCTTCAAGTAAGTAATTAGAGTACACTTTTGACCATTTTGATGGAGTCTAGTTGTCTTACGAAGTTTCTCCATCTTGGGAAACGCAAAGTAGTTTCTCTTGGTGCCAAGTATTCTGTCCTGAACTGCTCTGTTATTACATCCATACGTCACACAATTTTATTGGACTGTTTGTTTTGGGATTTTCTTCATCAATCTAAGCTCTATCTTTTCCATTCTCATGCTAGGTGAGGAATTGGGAGTTGCACCATGCGCTGTGCAAACTGGAATTTGAGCACGGGGCGGATACTTCATTTTCTTACAGTATTTCTAAAACTTTCTAAAATCATTCAACCAAGTTTTGTTGTAATTTTAATTTTGTGGGTATTTTTCTTGGTCTATATTTGTGTTCGATGTGTCAAACTCTAATAATTCAAACATGGAATTTTTAGCAGCCGACTACCGCTAAGCCTAATATCTCCAAGCCAGTTCATTCTTTTTGGAATTGAGGTTTTCTTCTAGTATTACAAGATATGAAGACTATAACCATAAAAAATTACAAACAAAGGTAAATACGTATTTTTCCCATTCATAAACTCAAAAAACGTACAAAATCAAAGTGTTTATTTATTTTTTAATTTACTGATATATTTAACTGCAGAAGCATTATTTCATGTGTAAAGCACATTCTTTTGCTATTTATAGTACAAAAAAAACAACTGAAATGGTCTAGAAATATTTGTACAATTTTTCTTAATAATATAGATAGTGAAAGAAACGTTTTGGTTGACTGGTACAGGTACCAGAGTCAATAAGATTAAAAACCAAACCCTACAGTCCAGAAGATTACCAAGCGCCTATTACTAAAATATGTTGTTTTCTGGGTCCGATCCCCCTCCCCCTGTCTATAACTAGCAATCCCTCTACTAATCACTAACCTAGCAGAAGCAAAGGAATCAGGGGAGTATGGAGAGTGACTGCTCCCCCTAGATTTGTGTTGAGGAAAAGGTAGTGGTCACCTTCAAGTAAAGAAATTCTTATGGAGGCCAAAACAACAACAGAATTTCCATTTAAGATTCTACATTTTCACTAATTACTCAACAACAATATCATTACCATATGAGTGATATCTGACAATTTCAGGTTTGATGAAAGTCACTTACCCTGTCAAAATGAAGTTCTGTGATATAGCATGTGTTTTTTTTACCATCTTTGGTGGTGTAGAAATTTTATAATGTTTTGTAAATTTTTGTTACTATGCAATTTTGGCATAAAACATTTCATCAAGAAAATCGTTGGAATTTATCAGTTCTATTTGCCTTTGTCTCTTTGACTCTCATATCAGGTAACACTTTGTCCACGGAAATAGTAATGCCTCCTTTAGTTGGCCAAGTGGATGATGTCTGTATGTATCACCTGACAAGTACAGGGTTTCTTGCAAGCTGGAAAGTTTACTCTCCATCCGTTACACTTGGTTTTCAAAAGAGACCTATTTTCAATGTGACTAGTTTAACAAAGATAATTTCGAGACAAAAAGTTGCAGATCTATCTACTGATCTTGTAGAGTCAACTTGTCTACGCGAATACGTGCATTTTTTGTTGTTGTTGTTTTTGTCTAATAAATAAAGATTCTTTTAATTTTTCCGTCAAACATGTTTAACCTATTTATTCCTCACTATGCTTAAAACTCAGTCAAGTTTTCAGATTCATATTACTCTGAAAATTTCCTGGTCGAATTTCCTGTTATAAAGCACATGTATCTGATATTTGCGCGGAAATCATTTATATAAAAATACCACAGTTCCTATACCACTTAGTCCCATTTATTTTATATGTCTAGCAATTAAGTAATGGATGGTCAGGTAGATGAAATTGCTGTAGCTAAGAGTTTTCTTACAGCAAATTTAAACACTATTGACAGCTGATTATGGAAGCTATTTACCTGATAAAATGGTTGGGAAACATTTTTCAGTTTTTACTATGGTATCATATAGCCCACCTTCGCCCTAACGGTCTCACCCCCTCCTCCCATAAAAACTTGAACATCTTCTCTAATTTCAGTTCCTAGAGAAAACGATGGTAGTTTATCTGTTTGTTTTATGTTTGATTTATTTAAAAAAAAAAATACTTTATTAAGCGTTATCGTAAAACCACACATCAGAAAGTATATTGTACTCTATCAGCACATGTTTCTCTCTGGTTGTTGTTTGGTCAAGAGACCAGGGAGGATCAAATACAAAATTTGACCTCTTCCTCCCTCCTCGGCTGTTGTTTGATTGCTTGGTTTTGTTCGATGAAGTCTGCACATTTTCCCACTATATCTCGTAACTAGGAAAATATATTTTCTTACGAAATGCAGCTACTGCATCAGTTTGCATAGGTTCTACGATCGTCCGCAGGTTGCTGCACACACGAGTGTCCCTTTTCAGGAAATGGTCCATGGTTATAAAACATTGTTTTTTTTTCATTTTTACCAGCATGTATTTCTCTTTTTATCCTTTATTTTGAACATATAATCTTGTTCTCACAAATAGTTCTATAGTTGTCGATGAAATGTACGATACTGTTGCGTCATCGAGGTCACGTGACTGGTGTGGCGCCACCTATTTTATAGAACTAT